TTCCTCCTCCTCTGAGCTGGTCACGATCATATCAATATGGGTTAAGTAAAAGTAACTGGGTGATGGGTATTTTACTGTCTTCACTCACATATTATATTTCATATAGGTAATCTATCTTACTAGAAGTTATTTTTCTGAAAGTAGTTGTGTTTAGGGAACTTTTCATAATATGTGATGAGACCAGAAACCAAGACAGATTGTTTTATTTCTTATCTATCCCTTAGAGTCATATTAAGTCAAGAGTTGTTTATGATGCGCTAAGAATATTTGAGAAATCCCTCGTAAGATGTTTTAGCTCAATAACCGAGGCAATACTTCATAACTTTGAGTCTCAAAGTACTTTGAGCATTATGATCTCATAAGTTTTTTCTCAAAATTCTTTTTTTTTCTTTAGCTATATAAGACTTTTGATGTGGAGGATTCACTAAATGGCAACCACATAGTATACTCTCATACTAGATTGTAGATAAAGGCAACTCGTAGGCATATTATTCTTTGGGGAGATAAGAATTAGAGCTTAAACTGTCAATACATAATGGGTACAATCACGAAGAGGGTTTTGAATGATCAAAAGTATAAAATGTTATTTAAAGAATGGAAGAGATAATTATACAAGAGGAGATATTTTATTTATATCGAACATTCACAAATTACAAAGATTCAAGCTTTCTCTCAGACTCAATTACAAGACTTAGTTTGGTTTATGCAAGCACCCAAACCTCTTATTTATAGTGATGGAATTACACACTTGGCTACCTAACTTAGAGTTATTACACACGTGGATACCTAACTTAGAGTTATTAAACACGTGGATACATAACTTACTCTCATGCATAATTATTTATTCTTTACTTATTCAACATGTCCATAATTATTTATTAATTTACAAATACATAGTGGGTACAATCACGAAGAACGTTTTGAATGATGAAAAGTATAAAAGATTAGTGAAAATACCTTAGACTAGCCTTTAAGGTTGACGAAATGACAAATCTAACCTAACATATTTATCGTCTTACAAGACTAACCTTATAAAGTTGGTCTTATATCATAATCCAAATATTGAATATATTACGAGAATGCCATTATGGTTGATAAAAAAATATTTTTTGATTATTAATAAAATAAAAAAATTTATTCTAATATTTTATGTTATTACAAAATTGCCATTTTGATTTTTTTTTTCTAAAAAATTTTTTTTTGGGAAAAATTTTTTTTTGTGCAAAAAACTATTTTTAAACAAAAAAAATTAAAAAAAGATTAAAAAAAAATACAAAATCAAAAAAAAAAGAGAAACCCCTAAATTCATCTTTTCTCTCTCTCTCTCTCTAACGGCGCTGCTATACTTCTTTCCCTTCTTTCTCTTCTTCTTAACCTTCCATTCCTTTCGTGCTCTCCTCTTTCTCTTTTTTTGGTTAAATTTTGTTGCATGAATAGTTATCCTTAATGAATTTCAAAGCATGGATGTTTCAGATAGAGAAAAAGAGGCATAGCCCTACCGATTTCTTGTACCAAGGCGCCTCCAATGTTTCCAAGCTCGAAGATCTAGATCTTTCCATGGCTTCTACAATTTGTTCTATTATTACGTTATTTTTCTTTCTTAAATTCTGAATTCTTTTATTTTATTTTTCTAGATCTGGGTTTTTGGATCTAATATCGATGATAAACTATGGAGATGCTATGGTTGGCGGTGACAAGAAAACTTAATTTTTTGTTGTTGTTGCAGATAACTTGTTTAATATGTGGTTCTCTTCAACGGAACAAGATTCCAGTGAAAGAAAAAAAATTTCTGGTGGATAGTAGATTTTTGTTGTTGTAATGTTTGTAACGTGTAATGGTAGACTTATTTTAAAAATAATAAGTGCTTTGATAGATTTATTAGTTACTTGACAGTAGATTTATTTGATAAAACGATATGTGGTTTGGTAGATTTATTAGTTATTTGATGGTAAATAATTTTAAAAACGGTATGTGGTTTGGTAGATTTATTAATTATTTGACGGTAGATTTATTTGATAAAACGATATGTGGTATGTTAGATTTATTAGTTATCTGATGGTATATTATTTTAGATATGTGGTTTAGTAGATTTATTAGTTATTTGATGGTAAATTTATTTTAAAATACTATGTGGTTTGGTAGTTTTTATTAGTTACTTGATGGTATATTTATTTGTTAGTAATGTTTCATCTTTTTACCACATTTGCTAGTAATGTTATTATTCAATTCAAATAATTTTCTTTACTTTCACTATGATGTATATCCTAAGTGAATGAAATTTAACCAAAACACATAACTAAAATCATTTAACATTGTGATGTTCAAGAGTTTATGTAAATAGAGTTAAATACTTAAATGTAACAAAATATTCACAAATAAAAAATCAAAAGATCATAAGTTAAGAGATGGTTATTACAGACAAAAAAACAAAAAGGACATAAGATAAATGTTTAAGTGAACTAATAGGACATATATGTTCAAGGTTAATATGAAAAGCAATGTTATCTTAGAGGAAAGATATAGCAATCATAGAAAAAAGATTCATGCAAGAAATTTTTGACCATTGACTGTGACGACTATACCACAAAGACCAATAATCATCTGTGATCAAATCACAGTTTACAGGCATAATCTCAGCAATATCGTGCAAAGAAATCGACAATGGTAACAAAACTAACTCAAATATAACCATGGAACAAGTCTACCATACATCCGGAACATGTTTAATATACGACACCCCAAAACAAGTCTAGCACACTTCTGGTGTTTTCGTATATTGCTGAATACTTTTATGGCAAATAAGTAATTTCAATTGAAAATGTCAAATGTCTACCAAAAACAATGTAACTAAGTTTACTACAAGCAATGTAAATAACTCTACCATAAGAAAAAGTCTACCATCAAGCATCAAATATGTTTATCAGATCGAGGTTATCTGAGTAAATACCAAAGTTATTTAATCTACCACATGAAGCTCAATATAAATCTATCATACGTGCAATAACTCTACCAATTGATTGAAAAACTACTAGAATAACAAAAAAAAATCTACCAACATTTTTTAAGTCTACCTCATGTAACAGTAAATCTACCACTCAACGGAATAAAATCACAAAATTTTTACTTGAATGTAAATCTACAACATAACCAAATCTACCATAAAAGCGAAAAATCTACCAACATTTTATAAGTCTACCACATATAACAGTTAATCTACCACTCAATGGAAGGAAATCACCAAATTTTTACTTGAATATAAATTTACCACATAACCAACAAATCTACCACAAAAGCGATAAATCTACCAACATGATATAGCTCTCTACCAATTTCAACAGTAATTTACCATAAAAGGGATAAATCTACCGTCACGTTATGAAAATAATGTAACATAAATCTACCACCAAAAGAAATAAGTCTACCAATGCAGGAATTAAATCTACACCATTGTCAACAAATCTACCGACAAAGTCAACTATTCGAGTAAGTCAACGATTTTCTTAACAAGTCTACCAATACATTTGACAAGTGTGTCATACATAACAACAAATCTACTGAAACTTAATAAATCTACATCTCATTGTCAAAACTCTGCCAAGAAAAGTCTACCAATTTTTAACAAATCTACCAACTCTCAAATAAATCAACCATCGTCCTAATAACTCTACCATCTAAATTTTTGCGTTGACCAAAATTTGTTAAGTCTACCGCCAAACCCTGGTAGACTTATCATTTTTTCAGTGCTATTTTCTGCCTACGTGATATTAAAAAGTAATAACATTTTCGTAATTAGGTTTTTTTCAACAAAGGCGAAAATGGTGTTTTGGGTATACTAGATTAGTTTTATAAAAAATAAAAAAAGTGCGCCAAACAATCAATAAAGATACTTTCTAAGGTTAGTACAGTAATCCTCCCTTTAAAAAATGGAAGAGATGATTATACAATGAGAAATATTTTATATCGAACACTCATAAATTATAAAGACTCTCAAGCTTTCTCTCAGACTCAATTACAAGATTTAGTTTAGTTTATGCAAGCACCTAAACCTTTTATTTATAATGATGGAATTATACACATGAATACCTAACTTAGAGCTATTACATATATATGGATACTTAATTTAAGAGTTATTACACACGTGGATACCTAACTTACTCTCATACATAATTATTTATTATTTACTTATTTAATATGTGCATAATTATTTATTCCCCCTGTCTTTAAAAGAGAAGTAGATTTTGTGTCTGCATGATCTGAGGAGGAATCACCATGTTGTTGCTGCAGCAAATCCTTGTGGCCCAAGTAAATCCGTCGCTTGGCCAAAGCTTGAAACTGGGTCAACGAGTTGAGAGAAGTTGTTGTCATGGTTATAGAGAAAGATTGAAAATCTGCTCTGGTCTGGTTCGGTCTGAAGAAGAACCTGAAGCTTGTCTTGGAACATCCGTAAACGAGTGTCCAACGAATGCTCAATCTCCAAGACTTTATGTGAGAATTTGTGTAGTTTTATCGAGAGATCTCTTCTTCTTCGTCGTTGATCTTCTTGTTAAGAAACTTGTATTGATCCTCAGGCCATGTGTTGATGAGTTCGCCGTCACAACCGTAATACAGGATGCAGACTTGGATGTCGCATTGAGTCGAGAGCTCGTAGGTGATCTATTCTCTCATAGAAATTCGTGTTCTTGAAATGGGTTTTATTCCTCACAAACAATTTGATTTTTCTCTTGTCGAAGAAGAAGAAAAAGAATCCATTGTTGAGGATACAAGAAGAGAATATAATTTGAAATATCACAATTGGATAGAAAACACCTATAACTTCAAAATTTTATGCGATATATAATTGTTGAATTCTTTCATGATTCATCTATAGTTTAGCCTCAAAAAATAGTTTGAATTCTTAAATTTTCAAAAGCTAATTGTGCTTTCACGTCAGATTCTCGTCTCCACACTTGTTTTTATGTTTACGTTTAAACTATACACTACATCAAGGGAATCACCATACGAATCAAATAAAATTCGTGATCTGCATAAATTATAAATAAGAAAGAAAAAAAATGTCGCAATGTTTAGAAAATATTATAAAGAGAGGAAACAAATCGTTCTCAATATTCCCCTTAAACCAAAAGTTTCTCTTTTTTATTTCTCCCAATCCCACCAACCACTCTCACAAACCCACCAGATAGAAATTAATGACTGAGTAACTGAGTCTTTAGTTCTCTTAAGCTTTGATGCCGAGTCTTGCTTTGAGCTCGTTCGCAACTGCATCGATGAACTCTTCCGTGTTCAGGTAAGTGTCCCTCGAGAGCCTGGAAACAAACCGACAATAAACATAAATCAATCAAAGCAAATCTTGACAAGAAACATGAAATTCAAGAGTGAAGAAGAGATTTACTTTGAGCCGTGAATGATGAGTGCAAGATCTTTAGTCATTTTCCCAGACTCCACTGTACCGACACAAGCAGCTTCGAGCTTCTCGGTGAATTCCAACAGTTTTGAGTTGTCATCTAACTTAGCCCTGTGTGCAAGACCACGAGTCCAAGCGAAAATAGAAGCTATGCTGTTTGTGCTGGTCTCACCACCTTTCTGGTGAACCCTGTAGTGACGTGTCACCGTTCCATGAGCTGCTTCAGCTTCAATCGTCTTCCCATCCGGACAAACCTAATCGAGATAACACAAACCATTGTAAAATTTAGACACTGATATAAAAGGTGATTGTGTCACTGATATAATACCAAAACTGATGTCATCAACCCAAGTGATCCGAACCCTACAACACATTATAAAGAACAAATTAGCTAACAGAAACATAAGCAAGCCAACAAATTCATTCACGAGATCACACAAACCTTGTGCCAAGAAATCGCTTTGGACATCACCATCATAGTTTTTGCATGCCCACACATAGCCTCCTTCGCTCTTAAGAGCGTAAGCCACCATATCGTCGATGAGACGGTGCTCGTACCTAACCAATTTAATCATTTAGTGTCCTCCATAGTCGAATGATACATAAGGCACCATGATAATGGCGCGTGGCGACTCACCATATACCAGCAGCTTCATACTTTGACTTCCAGCTAGCTTCATACACTTCTTGGAAGATGTCTTTGAATCTTCAGAGTAAAACAAAAACTGCAATCAACATCAAATATTAACGAGAAACTCTCTCCTAATAATGATCAAATATCACATACCTGCCATCGTATTTCTTAAGAATGGTGTTCTTTGTGCTAAGATAAAGTGGCCACTTTTTCTCGTAAGCAGTGTTCATCGATGCCTCAGCAAAAGCACGGATGGACTGTAATATAAGATAAAAATGTATATATAAAACTTTGACTTGGAGGCCAATCATGAAATGAACAAGTAGTTAGAAGAAAGCGTAAGTATAACTATACCTCATCAGTATTGTACATGGCCATAGCAACACCACCTTCACCGGTAAATGTAAAGACTTCAGTTTCAGTTTTCCCATCTTTTCCCTCTGAAGATCAATGACATTACAGAGTTCATTAGTACTCGACAGATGAATAGGAAAGAAGAAGTGGTAAGAGATTACAAAATTGTGCAATGCCATCCCCAAATGAAATGACCGATGAAAGGTAGTAGGTTTACCAAAAACCATAGTCAGTTTTCCTGGTCCCTTGATTACAGCATCAGTGGCACGGTACTGATCTCCAAAAGCATGTCTTCCAATGCAGATGGGCTTAGTCCAGCCTTAGAAAACAAAAAAAAATATACTCAGAACCCTTTCGCAATAAAACTGTTAAAGCAACTAGCCCATTTGTCAATAATTACCTGGGACAAGCTTGGGAACATTTTTGCAGATAATTGGTTCTCTAAATACAGTTCCTGTTTAAGACAAACACAGTATAAGGCAACAGAGAATGATATTACCAGACGCTTTAACATAAAATTGTGTAAATCTTACCGTTCAGAATATTCCTGATGGTACCATTTGGACTTCTCCACATCTGCTTCAAACCAAATTCTGTGACACGGCCTTCATCTGCGAGTGACAAAAAATCAATACTTTAGTAAAAATGATAAGACTGGTAAAAAATTTTCAATTGCAAAATATCTATCTAAATATACCTGGAGTGATGGTGGCACACTTGATCGCCACATTATACCTAAAACAAAATTACAAGCGTTAAACATTGATAGAATATTCCACACAGAGCATAACAGAGATGCAACATAAGTAAGCTTCAAAGAAGCAGACCAAAAAAAAAGTGGTCAAGTATGTTCCAAGTTCAAACACATACTTTTTAGTGGCTACAGCACTTTCGACGGTAACTTTGTCATCCGTAGCATCACGGTGAGGAAGACCAAGGTCGAAGTACTTGATATCCAACTCCACGAAAGGGGTAATGAGCTGAAAACATTAAAGCAAACGATTTAGAAAACACACGAACACAAGAACTATCCGCATTAGAACATGCAACGGAACATGTTTAGCTTATACCTTATCCTTGATGGACTTCCAAATAACTCTGGTCATTTCATCACCTATAACACAAGACAAATGAAGCATAAGAGTGAGTAAAAGAAACCAAATGTTCTAGATTTAGGTCTCAAGAAGCTGAAAATTATCAGAGAAACTATTATTCACCCAGTCCTATTTTCTGATCCGACATTATCAAAAAAAGGATCTAATCAAATATCAAATCTATTTTTGCCGGTTTGAAGCTATAAATCAAATAGTTTTTCATCAGATCATAAGCTAAATCAATCAATCGACAAACAGAGCTACGATTTTTGTTGATCTATCAACGTATATACAAGTTCAGAACAAGATCATTCCAATAAAAAATCACGTAATCACATACCAAAACTGAATCGTAAGTAAAACTAGTTTACAACATTCCATCAAATCGGATCAGAGAACGTAACAACGAAACTTCGATAAAAACTAGGGAAGCGAAACTATTACGTTTCATTTTCGTATATAATCAACAAAGAAGATCTGAATAAAAAAAACCGAAAGAGAGAGAGACTGAGTGAGAGAGACAGAGAAGGAGATCTCACCATCCATCTCGACGATGGGATTTGCCACCTTGATCTTCTCAAACGCCATGGCTTCTCGCTAGGTTTTACGAGAGACGATCTAGATTTTTAAATCGCCGGCGATCTACGAACGAGAGAAGTTTCCCGGCGAGAGACGCAGATCGTCGAAGGAGGGAGATGATTTGCTGGTGACTGGAGTAGGTGAAAAAATGCTGTGCAGGTAGAGGGAGGCTATATTTATGGTATTTAAAAGTTCGGATATTATTTTGGACCCCATTATTCTCACTTATTCTATTTTTGGCCTTCAATTTTGGATATGATTTTGGACCCCATAATTATTACTTAATCCATTTTTGTCCCCACTTTCATTTTCTTTTCGTTGTAGCCGCCACTTGTTCTAGAAGGGAGGTCGATTAAAGAAAACTAGATTTTAACCCGTGCCTCCGCACGAGAATGTTTTATTTTTTATTTTTAATATAAGTTGCATTTATCTTTTTTGTTTAGATATAATTTGTTTTTGTTATTTATTTTGTTAAATCAAAAAATTGTTATCATATTTTAATTTTAAACAGTAAAATTTGTATATTAGTAGAATAAGAGTATACGTTAATTAAGTATACATTGATCTAATGTTAATTATAAACTTTGTTATTATGTGAATTTAAATTTACACATAAACAATCCTTATATCTATGAATTTGCTAATTCATCCGTTTAGTTGTCTTAAATCATTTTTAATATCTTACATGTTTTGACAAACTAACCCGTATAAGACTATAATTATAATTTTTATAACCCTATAAATATTTACTAATATGAAATATTTGGATCAATTGATTATGAAAAAATATAATAAGATATTTATTTACTATTTGTGCTATTAAAAAAATGTGTGTATATATATATATATAAACGGGCTAACCTGTTAGTTTAATTGTATCAAATCATATATATATATATAACTCTAATCAGCTCGATCATATTATTGTATAATATAAATATTTATTAATTTCAAATATATGATATTTTAGACTGATTGTTTATGATAAAATACGATAAAATATTTATTAACTATGCATTTTTATAAAAATATTATTTAAATTTAAAATTTAAAATTAAATCTTTCCTGTATTAAAGAAATTCTAAAGTATTAAAATTATTATCTAAATTTTCGTAATAAAATTTAATTATAATTTTTTTGATTTTTTGAATTTAAATTAAATTGAATGAAAATTTTTGTAACTAAATTTAATTCAAATTTCAAATTAGATGACCTAGATTTTAGGAAATCTAAAAATATTTAAATTAATAACTAATTTTCGAAAATTAAATATAAAAATAAAATAAAATATTATAAAAAAAAACTTTGGGAGTGTTTGGATGCAAGCACTAAATGTGCTTCTGTTTTAATAGAATAGATTCAACCTCATCCACTCTTAAAAATAAACTAGGTGGTAGTCCGCACCATGTGCGGGCGAAAGTGTGTTAAAAATAAAAGTCTTATTACTTGTTTCGAGAGTGAATGAGTGATGATCACATACTCTAATTTTTATAATTTTGAACAGTTAATAATGCATAAAGAGATCAGATGTTTAACTTAAACAGATGAAAAGAATAATACTGTGAATAATTTACATAATACTATCGAACGTGAAACACAAAAAACTTGTAACTCATCAAACTTAAAAAAAAAAACAACAAAGAAAAAGAGAGCACTCATCCTCCAGCTCCCTCGGGTTCGACGAAGCATTCTCTTGATTAAGCCATCGGTCAATCCAAGATCAAAACAGGGCAATAGCTAGGTTAGAGACATTCATCCATAGAATAATTGATGTGTTTTGAATTCGGTAAAATATATAATGTCAGAAGATTTAACACAAGATATAACTGGATGATCACATCTTTAAACTATTAGCTTTATTACAAATAAAAAACCAAACACAAATATAACAACAATGTTAGACATTTGACCAACCAAAAAAGATCTAATAACCATAATGAATATATTGTTCCATTTACTAAAACATTGTAATTACAGAAGTTTTTTTTCTGTAATTCCTTTTATCTCTCCCTCGCTAGAAAATTATCTCTATTTTCTTGCAAGTGTTTGTCATTCTAATCGGTTCTTCCACATGTTTCTCTTCTTCTTTCTTAACTTATTTGATTTATGTTTCTTCTTCTTCTTAATCCTTTTTGACTGTGAGTTATTCTTTATCATCTTTTTCTTTTCCAACAGTTGTTTTTCTCCATTCTCTTTTGGTTTGTTAGTCTTTCTCCTCAGATTATTCTTTTTTATTGTTTTCGTCTTCTCTGACTTATTATTCTTTAGGTTTTTCTCCATCTTCTACTTCTTTATCTCTATCTTCTTCTTTTTCTTCCTCTTCTCTATATTATTAATTTTCTCTTTTTCATGGTATTTTCCTTAATTTCTTGATCATCTTGAGCTTCTTCTTTTTTATAATCTGTCTTCTTCGACTTCTTCTTCTTGTTTTCTTTTATTTTTATCCATCTTGTTCTTGTTCTTCTTCCTTCTTATAATTCATCACATTTTTCTTCTTTTTCTTACTTAATTTCTTGTTCTATATTTTCTTAGCTTCCTTCCCCATCTTCACCTTCTCATACTTTTTCATCTTCAACTTCAGTTTTTCTTCCTTATCTAGAACATATATGTCCTCGTATTTTCTGAGTTTTTCTTAGTCAGCTCTCTCTTCTTCTCCTCCTCTTTTTTTGATCTCATCTTCCTCGTTTACTTCTTCATCTTCATCCTCTTCAACTTTGACTTCTACTTCTTTATCCTCTTTGTCTTCTCCAACATCTGCTTCTTCTTTTACTTTTGTTTTTTCTTCGTCTTATTTCTTTTGATTTTTCTTTAATCTATATTCTTACTTATCTCGTCTTTGTCTTATTCCTCTTCTGCTTTGTCTTCCTTTGCTTCCTCTTCTGATTTTCCTCATTGTATTATTCTTCTTCTTTTTCTTATTTTCTTTGACTTTTTTTTCACAATAATCATAATCTCAACTTCTGCTTTTTTCCATTTTCTTACTCCCCCTCTTCTTCCTCTTATTCTTCTACTACTTTGTTTTCTCATTTTTTATTATTCGCTAACTTCTCTAGTGTCTGATTCTTTTTCTTCTTCTTCTTCAACTTCTCCATCTTGTTATCCTTGTGCTTATTCATTAGTTTGGGTTATCCACCTTTTTATTTTTCTTATCGGATTTAATTGATATGACTTTGTCTTTGTCTTTTTTGACTTCTTCGTCGTCTGTTCGTTTTCTTTTTCTGTTTCTTCTTCTTTTGTATCCTTCAATTTCTTCTGTAGTTTTTTTTTCTCTTATTTTCAATATGAATTATAACTGATAGTTGCATTGATTTGTACAGATTCAATTTCCTTAAAGGTAGTATAATAATTTTTGTGCAATAATAAAAAAAAAGAGAACGTAAGATTTGTGGGCTAACATGTTTTTTCATCGTTGTTTTTCTCTGTTTATGCTACCTCAAACGGAGGTTTCATAAAGCTTTTTTCATTCAATCAAAATAAAATTCAGATGAAACACTTTTACAATACACAACTTTTCAAAAACGATGTCTCATTGGAAATTAGATCATTACGTCCGTTTTCACATGTAACATAATAATAAAATGATCAAAAGTTGCAACAAAGCTGTAGAAGTTCAGAAATAAATTTGTCGTCATTCTTATTTCCTATTTTGTTCTCTTAGTTTACTTTCAACCATCTTGGCCATCTCTTCATTCTCTTTCTTCATATCATTCTTATGCCTGTATTGTGTTCCTCTTCTTTATTGTTTGTAAACGTCTTTTTATATATTTGTGTTCATCAATGTTTAGGAGTAATCAGTTATTGTTTGTAAATATAAATTGACCTGAGCTTCTTTATTGTTTTTCCTTAAATCTAGAGTTCATCCCGCAAACTATAGCTGATTGGCTCGAACTTTTTTGAAATCCTATCTTCCAGTGGATCTAACAGGTAATTATAAATAATAATTATTGTTAATTAGTTTTTTACAAATTTAAAATAGATCTTATGTATACGTATTTTCTTTCTTATTTTTCGTTACCGAAATGGTAAGGTAAAACGTGTTTCCCTGTCCAAAAGAACAAAATAATAAATTAGAGAGAATTTGCGAGTAGGATAGTATAACAAGTAAAATATTTTTGAACACTTTAAATTTGTAAAAAAATAATTAACAACAATTATTATATATAGTCACCTGTTAGATCCATGGGAAGATAAGATTCCAAAAATTTGAGCCAATCAGCTATAGTTTACGGGATGAACTCTAGGTTTAAGAAAAAATAATAAAGAAGCTCAGGTTAATTTATACTTACGAACACAAATATAATAAAATAAGTTATATATACAAAGAAGCTAAGGTTAATTTAATAAACTAAGCTATTTATAGAAAAATCGAATATAAGAAAATAGGCTATCTATACAAAAAAACGCAAGTTAATTTAAGAAAATAAGCTATCTATACAAAATTAACATCTCCTTACGAACAAGAAAATATAAAAGATGTTTATGAACAATAAAGAAGAGGAAAATGACCTCAAAAAACAGTGACGATTGTTGTAAGTGAAAACATATGTAGACGATACGGGTATATATAGTGTAGGACAGATGTTTTAGTGTTTAGGGTTTCTTTGTTGGTGGCCTATTTAACTGATTAGTGGCTATGACCGAGAATAAATCTGCTGGCCCATTAACAAACTCGATAAAAAAACCATGTTACACATATTGACACGTAGGATTAATGAGCATCCTATCAAAATAAATTTAAACAACACATTTATAGATTTTAATAATGACACATAAGCGAATCGCTCTGGAGACAACACATAGGATTTTTGACTTTGCAAATAATAGTATAGATATATGAATTCGGAAAAATAATACACTCTCTACGTAATATTTGTCGTTGTGAAATTTAAGGTACAATTATATACAATGTATGGTTTCGTTGGGATGAAGACGGATTACAGATTGCTATGTGGACGTTTTTGCCAAATGCCAATAGAAAGATGTTTAGTGCGTGCAAGATTACACTTTCGCTCATCTCCATATACTCAAATTTCTTTTCAGAAAGACTCCACTTTCTTATAGGAGAACGTTAATTTCTTTCTTTTTCACAATTTTTGTGTGTTAAAAGTTATATTTTTAAGATGCAAAAAGGAGCAACTCTTTTATTTTTGTTAAA